CAATCTAATGCACGCGTACACCTGGCCAGGAATGAAGAATGACTGCATAGAGTATATTCGCAGTTGTAAAGTTTGCCAGCGGAATAAGACTACTATGCGTGCTCCGCTAGGTCTTCTCAGACCCTTGCCTATTCCTGATCAGCCCGGGGATTCAGTGTTCATCGACTTCATGGACGCGGGCGTCAAAAGTAGGCATTGCAAGAGCCAAGTCATGGTGATAGTCGATAGATTTAGCAAGTACGCTGTTTTTATACCTTTGCCTTCAGAGGCACGAACCGAGTTAGTGATCCGTAAGTTTTTTGATCATTGGATCAGTGAGCACGGGGTCCCATTGTCCATAGTTAGTGATAGAGGCACCCGGTTCACGAGTCAGAACTGGCAGGAGTTGATGAGAGTCTATGGCTCTAAGTTGCTGATGTCATTTGGCCGTCATCCGAGACCAACGGTCAGACTGCACAGATGAATAAGGTCCTGCAACAAGTTTTGAGGATGTACATTAGACCAGATCAAGTTGACTGGGATGAGATGCTCCCCAAGATAGCCAGTGCTTACAACAATAGTGTGCATCTGTCTACGTGCCGCACTCCCAACGAGTTGCACAAGTCCTTTAGACCGCGCAGACCGTTTGAGGGACTTAACCGGGATCAGATTCATAGGCTACCGCCCGGTACTAGGGAGTTCGCTATATAGCACGAAAAGGAGCTAGCTACTGTTGCAGATAACCTCAGGAAAGGCCAGCATAGGATGATAGAGCAAGCTAACAAACATCGTCGCCCGTCACAGTTCCGAGTAGGTGACTTAGTCTGGGTTAAAGCTAAGGAATTTGCTCCTGAGGAGAACATCTCGCAACAGTTATGGCCCGCGTACAGAGGACCATGGCCAGTTCTAGAAGTCAAGGGCGGAGAGGATGGGCCGTCCTACACCATCGAGATTCCAGTACACCTCCACACCTACCCAGTTTTCCATGCGTCAAAGTTATTGCCATGCCTAGTAAGTGACCAGTTTCCATCTAGACGGTCCATGATCCCTCCAGACATGGATGGGAGGTACGACATTGACGACATTGTAGGTGAAGATGTGTTTAGAACAGGAGGTAGAGGTTGTCCTAAAAAACAGTATAAAGTCAGATTTGCATATCAGGAGCTAGAAGACGACCGGTGGTTCACCCGAACTGAACTTCTAGAAACAGCCCCCGACATAGTCCGAGCCTACGAGAGGGATAGAAAAGGTCCTGCCTTGGACAAAAGCATTCTCGTAGGACCTCGAATTTAGGCCGGTGGGAGTGAAACGCTATTCACTAGTTCGCAGTAGCTGACACAGATCCCAGGGTTGGATCCCTAGTCCTTACCTTACCTGTGTACAGTATCTGTGTAGCCCCCGAGAATTGAACCCACGACCTGTGTGTTTCGTAGCAGTTGGTAGGTCGTCGTAGGTTCTGTAGGCCGTCGGGGTACGACCTGTAGACCTGTCCAGTAGGAGTCCAGCCAGGTCTAGAAGTCGTAGCTGTAGGCTTCTCGAAGAGTCAAGGTCGTAGCTAGTCCAGTCCTGAAGAGTCAAGGTCGTAGCTGCGACAGGACCGAAAGGCCAAGTCCACGACCTTCTAGAAGGGCCCGGTGGTGGCCTTTCGAGGTTGCCCACGTTTAGGCAGAGGCAAGTGGGCAAGTGGTGGAAGTCCACCGTGCAGAGTCAGCAGTCCCAGTCCAATCAGTCCGGTCCAATCAATCAAGTACCGCCTGGGACTGTGTGCACCGTGGGCCAGGGGGAAAGGGCAGACCAACGAGTTACAAAAGTATAAATCAAGAGGCCGCGCACAGCCATTCATTCATTCCTGCGGAAGCCATGCGAAGTCGAAGTGGGCGAGAGAGACGAAGTGCAGCCATAGCGATAGGGTAGAGGCAGCCATCGCTGCCATAGCTGTAGTTTAGAGTAAGTGTGTGTGTGTTGTGTGAGCATTCAGCGTGTCGCATGTGGGATATCCAGGGTGGTCCGGGGTGTGTGAACAGTGAGTTGTTGGGCGCTGAGTCGCCATACCCAGTGAAAGTGAACTCTTATCTGGATACCATATCTCTGAGTTCTGTGTGGGCGCATGTCGCCAGTTTGCTGCGATGCGGTTTACGTGCATGAAAAGTGTGAATGAGACGAGTCTGATTGCAGCATTATGTAATGCTTTTAAATCAAACAGGCTCCAGACATGAGCCTCAGCCTCTTCACCGGCATCATGAAGTTCAGAAATCAGTTTGTCCAAACGGGCAAGCAAGACTTGTTTCCGCTCTTTCACTTGCTGCTTAGTTCGGGGGTCAGGAGTCTCCTCACCGACAGCAAACATGAGTGAGACTGGATAGAAGAGAAGTGGAATAAAACGAGTGAGCACTGACAATTTCAGAGAATTCCAGAGAAAAGACATCATGATGTGCGTCTGCCGCAAAATAAATAATTAATAAACAGTAATAAATTCCACGGCCGCACTGATCTACAGCAGCAAGATTTCTAACAATCGAAGAGAAAATAAATACAATTATTTATATTCCTAACTATTGCTGTTCTTTCTGTCTATGTGATGACGTCCTAATCAAGAGTGTGCAGGTACCACGTCAGACCCGTGTGATCAGATACAAAACACAAGTACGCACAGCACCACAACATAGCAAACGACAAGGTGAGTATGCCAACATCAACAGCAAACAGTTTGTCAGCAATCCTTCTTCTTCTTTCCCTCTGTGTCGTCCAAGTGTCAGTGCGATGTTGCACTCTTCCTGACAGCTGGCACTCCAGCTGTATAGTCGGTTCAATCAGCTGTACCGCCGTCGTCTTCAGAATGCTTCTCTTACTTGGCAGTAATCCTGCCTGCTACGTGTCATCCCTGGAGTGTCAACACAGCAGATCCTGCCACGTCAGCACATCAATATCCAATCAATAAGCGGTGGGGATGCCACGTCAGCAAATATGTCCTCTGTCCTTCGCACGAGCCACTTCCACGTGTTACGTCTCGATACCGTTGCCGTTCCAGCCAGTCAGACAATGCCACGTCAGCCAAGGAGACCGATGCCACATCAGCACGTAGTCACCACCTCATGAAGACAGGTGTGATGACATACTTCCTGCCACGTCAGCAATCAATCCTTTCCCCAAGGCCACGTCAGCATCTGCAGTAGACCCTGTCACGCGTCAGCAGCATAAAAAGTGCCACTTCAGCAATCAATCAACAAGGTTTTCAGATGTGGCACAACATATGCCACATCAGCAGGAAATTGTGATGCCACGTCACTATCATGATCCAGGCTGGCGCTCGGTATCTCTTGGTCGCCGTCCCTACTGCCACGTCAGCAACCTCGTTGGGATCTCCTCTCGCCAGTGAAACAACCCAGGCGGTGTCTTCTCGCCAGTGAAGTCTGTGCCACGTCAGCACCCCCGACATATCTCTTGCCACGTCATCACCTACTCAACACACATGTGCACCACACTTACCTGCGCGCCACCTGGCGTGTGCACACGTGTACAATCGTCGTCGTCAGGAGAACTGCTCCGATACCAAATTGCAATGAACCCAGATCGTGAAGACAGTCGTCAAAAATGCAAGCCCAAACGAATGTCTACCAGCTTACCAATAGTCAAAATCGTGCCCAGACAGAATGAGATAAGATAATCATACACAGACGAAGAGAGAGAAGGCAGATTAGACAAAGGAGTGGAAATAGGCCCACTCCTGCTTCGGGCTCCCTCCTCAATCACCACCTCAATAACCAATAGTCTGGACGAGTATCCGAAGTAATCTCAATGCGCCACGCGGCATGTCTAATTAGTCCCTCATTAGCGCTGGAGCAATGTCGACATGAAGACCATCAGGTACCTATCCACAATCTCTCCTCAGTCCCGATCTCCTCCCGAATGACGATTATCAGAACAGCAATACAAGTCACGTAGCTCCGCTTCATCAGAACACGTGGCAGCAGCCATGTCAGGCAATGATACATGTGGCAGCAGCCACATCAGCGCAGCGCATGGCAGCTGCCACGTCAGCATGCCAAGAAGACAGGTGCAAGCCAGCCACCATGCCGGACCAGAAGCACCTCGCCAAATCACAATGCCAGCGTCGCAGGGTCAAGCCAGCGTCGCAGCGTCGAGCCCGCGTTGAAGTCAACGCGTGAAGTCAGCATCAACGCAAGACAGAATGAATGTCAAAGCCAGGAAGTCAGCGTTTATGTAGCGTTGACGCCGGGTCTGGACCCCGAATGCTGCATCCCTCAACCGTCCAGATCTCAATGCAAACGAGGGCCCAGATTGTTCTGAAACCGAATTCCCTCCGGCCTGGATGCTGTCTGGGTACCTGCGCACAACAAGTGAGTGTATCCAACAAAGGGCCTGGGTGCGGTACCTTTGACTCTACAGTTGACTTTGACCCTTGAATTTCCTGTGTGCAGCGTTCGGTCACACAGCCATACACGACAGACTCAGGCCTGGGCGCAGACCAACTCAGGTCTGCGTTGCCTGGGGCTGAGTTCTGGGCCCCAGGCTACTTCTGAACAAGGTTACTACACTCCACTTCCTTGTAACTGCTGACAATGCCGTGAATGTGTATGGACATCAAATTGCCATCCTATGATGTGTCAGCATCTGCTTCAGTTACGTGTTACATAAGAGCATTAGTTTGTCAATCTATGACGAACCAGCACCTGCCTCAGTGAGCTATTTATCATCAGTACATATTTCAATGAACCTTTTGGCAAGCAACCATGAGTCTGACGGGGTGGATAAGTGGAGGACATCTGCATGGTGAAAATCAGCCATCAAAAATTGAACACGAGAACAAACTGTGAACAGCAGATTAATACTGTTGGATAGCTGCATGCACCTCACAGGTTCAGATGGACCAAATACCCACCTTGGCTTCTCACGTGTCACAAAACTGCGAACAGCTGATTAATACTGTATTACTGTTAGTTAACTGCATGCACATAAGGAGTGAATAGAAACTCAAAAATTCAGATAGTTTGACAACCCACCTTAGCTTCTCGGATGTCACAAGGTTTCCATCGACATAAAATTTGATGTTGCTGCCTCCCACCAGCCTGCTCACACTGTGTGCCACTACGACAAAGTACCACCGCTTTGGCCGAAATTGGAAATCCATCCTCACAGTTTGTGCCTTACTCCCATGAGTCTACAGAGCAGACACACACATACACACAAAGATAGGACAAACAACCACAGATGAGTGCATGCACGCAGCGGCACACATGCACGCATAGCCAAGTTGTGTCCTCATGATCAAGACTTTGCTTTCAGTGATGATCTATGAAAATCTCATGCATACTTCCTCATGGACAAGACCTGCAGAGCGTTTCCAAAGGAGTTCGAATTTCAAGCAGCACCATAACATATTTGATGTACTCCATAGAGAGCGCACAATTATATAAGAGTACAGCTCCTCAACACCCAAGGAAATCAGAGGCACAAGAGATTTAACCTAAACAAGCATGCAGGACAGTTGACGCTTCCACCTGCAAGCATCACCTCCTTTCAAGTCACTTGTACTTCCACCCTGGCAACAATGCTTACAATATCACTTGCTGCCTACCTGCTCCGCCAGGCCAAAGAGTTTGGCTGGTCCTTACAACCTCGCTGCATTAATCACCTCACCCCTCTTCTCGTTCATGCTGCATTGCCGCACTCTATCATCCCGCCCCGGCTCTCGTTCGTTCTGCATCGCTTCAATCACTCACCCCACCTTTCTGACAAACTTTCTTGTCAAAACAGTGCAGAAGCGGAACTGGTGAGTACTTACCACACAGTCAGTTTTCCCTGCCCTCAACAGGTCATGTATGGTAGGATGTTTGAGTTTTTCTCAGCCCAGATGGTCCGTTTGGGAAGTTTTGTTCTTTTGGTTCTCTGTCCACATAAAGTACCTTTGGGGTAAGTGTGTGCAGCTGTGATGCATCAGGGTGAGCTGTTCATTGTGGCAAATACTCACTGCAAGAATCAGGTTAGGTTGAGTGTTGCAGCAAGGCCCTTAATCATGATTGTTCACTTCTGACTCGCCTTACCCGGTCCGGATCTGCCTGTTGACTCCCGGACTACTGAACATTAGACATCACCGAGTCAAAAGGGTCTCAATCTCGTACCATGCCTGGTAAGAACTTTGTGGACCGACTTGTAACCCCTAGAGACTGACTGACTTACTGAAATCATGGACTACACCTGGCCGCTTTTCCTTGAGCTGCCCTAACCATTCACTTCTAGGGATTGGAATTCATGTTGCTCACCAGGATCAAATGAAGAATGTCAAGGAATTGGTGGGGTCTGCACTGTGCCTTGAGGGCTGTCAACTGTGCCTTAAGGGCTGTCAACTGTGCCTTAAGGGCTGTAAACTGAGCCAGATTTCCCAGCTCCTGTGTCTGCACCGGTTGAAGCCTCAGAATAAGCACAAGCAACTGGCCGTGTCACCCTGGTGAAAAAAAGAAAAAAAAAAGCATGTCCAGGAATGAGATCCTTCCAATTCCGTTCTTCTCCAATTCCGTCCTCCTATACTAGGATGATTCCTGTAACAGCACGAGTTTCTGTCCTTCACCACCCGTAACCATTCTTGCTTTCCCCCCCCCTCTTCCTGCATGCGTCCGGTGAAGGGTCGTAGAAGAGCCCCACATTTGGGGTTTCACTGGCGGCACATTTGAGGATGGTTTCCCGTGCACCATTCAAGGGAAAAAGCATGCGGAACCCGCAGCACCACATTGCTGGCCCCCATACCCAACTGAACTGGAAGACAAGACACAGTATCAAAGGTGTCCCTGCTCAACCTTTTTTTTTTTTTTTTTTTTGGGGGGGGGGGGGGGGGGGTACAAAAGCTCCAACCTATTCGTGGGGAGCAGCACGTGCTGGGAACCGGGCCCAGCGTCCCATATAGAGTTACACAAGTCATTTGAGATACCGGGGCCATTACCCRGCTYCGGCTGAGAATCAATCTGAGAACTATTGAAGAGACTCAAGAGAAATAAAGGAGAGGTTGAAAAACTATGAATGACTATTGACCTCTTTTTGAGAGCTTAGAACCCCTAGACTCCCAAACAAAACTCTCTAAAACTGTCCAACACTGCCTTATTCCCTGTCGAGCTCTCCCAGGCCTCACACCCCCACCCAGCTAGGTTACAGAGCAACACGACTCGCCCCACCTCCGGCCGGCGTCGTCCCAACAGCAACCCTTGGTTGTCCCTTGGAATGCCCCCCCAAAGCATCACCAGATTTCTCTACCAGACCTCACGCTCCTACCCCAGCACCGGTCAGCGTCGTTCTGGCTTCGAACAACCGCAGATCCATGAATGTACCAGTATTTAACAGCCTAAAGCAAGTCCCCAGAATCCTAAGGCATTCCCTCTTTTTTTTTTTTGCTAAGAAACAAAAACATATGCTCAATTCAGAAAACAACTCACATACCAATCGATCCCGTATACCCCACTCCGGCAAGACTTACTGCAGCAGAGCCACCATCTCCGCTGCTGCTGTACCCTATTCCCATCCTAGTAGGACGCATGATATCCCACCATCTCCTCTCCCACTCACCTCGATCCCTTTTTGGGATACCGGGGCCATTACCCGGCTTCGGCTGAGAAAATGTCTGAGAATACTTGCGATAATTCAGAAAGCATGAGAATAGACCGCAGTGGTCCTACGAATGCTCAAAACCTCGAAATCCCTAACTAACCCTTCCAAGGCTCTCCAACACTGTCTTACTCCCTGCCGAGCTCTTCCAGGCCTCACACCCCCACATCCTGCTGGGTTACAGGGCAACACGACTCATGCCAGCTCCGGCCAGCATTGTCCTAGCGGCAACCCTTGGTTGTCCCGTGGAATGCCATCCCCACATCTCTCTACCAGGCCTCACGCTCCTGCATCAGCAGGTTACAGGGCGACACCCCAGCACCGGCCAGCGTCATTCTGGCATCGGACAGCCGCAAATCACTGAGAATAACAGCATCGAAAACCACCTAAGACGGGTTGCTAGGAGTCCCCAGAGTCCTAAAACATTCTTATGACCACCAAGGGCAACCCTTTTTTTTACTTTCCTCATGAGAGTAAAATTGAAAAAAGCGAAAAAACTAGGAAAAAAAGAGAGCGAGGGGTCGAATGAAACTGCCTACTTTCCTAAACTCCCCCCCTCAAGACGGAACGTCGGTCCAGGCTTTCAGTCCTTGTACAAGGACTCACTTGATCTCATACCCCCTTCTGCTAGGGTAACAGGGCACCACAACCCTCCCCAGTACCGACCAACCTAGTTCTGACGGAAAGGAAATGCCTTCCTCCCTTGACAGTTCCCTGAGCGGCAAGCCCCTAAACAGGTTACAGGATCAATACCCCGGCGCCGGCTACGTCGGACGGTCTGGTTTTGCCTTCCACCCTCGGCATAACTCCACAGGCCTCAAGCTCCCCCTAGGTCACAGAGCAAAAGCTCCAGCACCGGCCAGTGTCGTCCCATCATCGTCCTTCTAAACTACTTACTTTAACAAACAACCTTCCTCTGTTGAGAACCCCCTTACTACCTTCTGGCCTCCAATTCTAGCTTCCCCCAATTTCCCTCCTTTTTTTGAGATAGCAAGGCCGCCCGGGACTCTACAACACATATAGGCTCACTGTGTGATCGTCAATGTTACTCATTCCCTCAAAAAGCAGGATCCTCACACCCTGCTATAAGCAGCCACCCCCTTGCCTTTTCTCCCCAACCTCCAGTGCCGATCCGACCCTAAATCAGACTCCGCCCTTGAAGGATAACACCTCCCACCTTGTGAAACCCCCACGGGGAGGGGCTCCAAGCCTAAAGGAAAACCCCACAGATACACAAAGCAAGCCGCAAATATACCGTACAAAGACCCAGGCAAAAGAAAAGCCAATCCTAATCACACTTTACTGCAACAGTAATCAAGATCAGGAGGTTAAGATTTGCAGACATAGGTTTTCTCAAATAGAAAAAGCTTCGAAAACATACTTTTAGAAATTGAAAATCAGAAACGGAAGTTGGGAAATCTCTCTCAAACATCTTTTGGAAATTAAAATTTAAAGACCAGATTTAAGAAATTTATCTAAGATGTCCAATATTGGACTCACAAATATCTAAAATCAAGAAATTAGTCTTGATCGTAGTTAAGATCATTGTTAAAGGAAGCAGCTATGTGGCAGAGAACATACTCTTGAATAGAAATTTCACGAAAAATCACTGCGAGCGATAGACAAGAATTATCAAGAAACAAATACTATCGAAATACTCTCGAAAAAGTGATCAGCAAAAACATGTTGATCATCAAACGAAAACAATTGAAAACAAGTACAAAATCATACCAGTCAAACGGCTTAGAGAAAAAAAAGGACATTCGAGAATCACGAATTGAACTCACAAGTTATTATCAGTGGAAAATCAACAGGAAAAAAAAGCTTGGATATGAGGATATTAGTGGATTTCAAACTATAAAACAGCCAAGCCACGCATGGGTTAAATTCCAAATCAACAAAACAGCCTCCTATCCCTTCTTCCTCAACCCACCACTTACCTCCCACCCCTCAAACCCTACCCCTGCGTCTTTGGGGAAGGAAAGACTCCCCTCCTCCCTCTGCTAGCTTCTAGACTCAAGGTAGAACCAACACCAAAGACATGAACGACCATCTTCAATTCCTACCGGAAATCGAAAATAGTGTGGCACCCCCTCGCCAAACCTGTTGACGAGTCGCCAAACCCTCGTCAAAAACACCCTATCTATACACTTACCATACGGTTGAGGAAGAGGGAAGGGTTTCGCCCACCGCGTCGCCTCATCCACACAACCATAGCTTATTTAGGTAGGCTTACCTTCTGGGCCATAGATTAGGCGGACACAAGTTGAGCAGATCGTTAGGCTCAATCCTCATGGCGGCAACATGGATCACAGTTGGAGAAGAAAACAAAGAACGATGATTCGTTGCAGGAGCCTTCCTCCCTCGTGTGCTTCTGATTACACGATCCCTGACTCGCAGCAGCGGCCTTCCTTCCTCATAACACCTACCCTTCCAACCTTCCGTAGTCGGTCGGCCCTCTCCCCACCAACCTTCACGCAGCACGGAACCGACTATGGAGGTGTACCTTTCTTCACGCCATCGCCTGCCACCAACCACTCCTCCAGCGCCGTCCTACTGCCCCTCTAC